CCTTTCTTCTTGTGGACAGATCAGGTGGCTGAGGCCTAGAGGGAGCTTGATTTGAGATGAGTAGTTCTTATGCCTGACTAGGTCAAGCAGCGACTTACTCTTCTTCATACTTAATCAAATCCTCACTCTCTAACTGAAACTTTGTACCCTTTGACCAGTACCTCTCCTTTCCCCGCTCCCCCGCCCCCAGCCTCCATAACCACTGTTCTACTCTTCACTTCTTCACCTTCTACTTTCTTAGATTCCACATATAAATAAGACCATGTGGTATTCATCACCTGTTTCACTTAACGTAATGCCCTCCAGGCTCATCTGTGGCCATGGATGATAATCATGTATTGTATATTTAAAAATTGCTAAAGAGTAGATCTTAAATGTTTTCATCACAAGAAAAGTAACTTGGTGAGGTGATGGATAGATTAACTAGTTTGAGTTAATCATTTCACAATGTATACATAGATCAAAACATCCCATTGTATCTTATATATACAATTATTTTTGTCAATTAAAATTTTAAAAAATTACAAGAGGCTGAGGTGAGGTTACAGTGAGCTGTGATCATGGCACTGCACTCCAGCCTGGGTGATGGAGCAAGACTCTGTCTCTTAAAATAAATAAATAAATAAATAAATAAGTGAATTTAACAATTAATTTTTTAAAAATCCCAACTCTTCCATCACCCAAGCCCTGCGTCCTTCTCCCTTCCCCCAAGACCCCCTCCCCTGCCACTGTGCTCTGATTTCTAGAGCAGTGTGTCCCTGTCCTGCCACTCTTGCTGTGCCTGTGGCTGTCGCTGTTCCTTGGGTAGCTTCCCCGTTACTCCTCAGGGGCTTCCCTGGCCACCCTCTGCTCGGGCCTCTCCTGAGTGTTGCATCAGCACCTTTCCTGCCTTCACCCACCAGCCACAGCTTGTGTTTGCCGTGTGAGCCAGAGCACTTGTTTGTCGCCTCATGGTCTTCCCCTCCGTGAGGGCAGGGACTGCAGTCTTGCTTTCATTCTTGCTTTCGTGCCATCTCCCCAGCTGTGGGTGAGGTGTGTGCACATATGCTCAGCATGTTTGTAGGATGAACACATGTATAAACTAGACTTTGAATGCAGATTATTGTTCTCTCCTGGCCATTAAAGGTGCTTCTTCCTGCTGCCCATTTACATCTCAGGTGTTACCATCTCTGGCCAGTGCCTGCCCTGTTGTTGTCATCTAACAGTCATGGGACCACACCTTTGTGACTCTCAGGGCCAGAGGTGTTTGGGAATGTGGAATTTTTGAGATTTTTAGAACAGAAATAGTGAAAGTACCATATATTATAGAATATCCTAGGCAGCACCATATAATCAAGCACATTAAGATTTTTGCAGCAAAGTATATGAATATTCGCACTAAGTGGGACAGTGAGACTATGAATAGCTTCACATCAGATCAGGGCATACTGCCAAGTGAGTTATGAACATGCTTTCAGTTTTCAGAGAGCTTTTTGGATTTTCGAATTGCAGAGAAGGGATTACGGACCTGTCTTAGTGAGCATCTGCTTGTCACGCATTATGCAGCGTGCTGAAATACAAAGGAAGAAAACGTCACGCCTGCCCTCCCGTGTAGGGGGTGGGTGGTCACCACATGCGGGTGATGAGCCCATGCTGGGAGGGCGCTCCCGGCAGGTCCTGGTGTTCTCCCTGTCATCTCCCCCTTTCCTTTGAGAGCGTGCTCTACAGGTGCGGTTTCAGGTGAGCCACATGGGGGGCTGGCAGAAGGGGCACTGCATTGTGACGCAGGGTCAAGTGTGTTCCTCTCAGAGTGTAGAGGTAACGGTTCTGGATCACCTGGACCCTGCCCTCGGGTCTGGCTGCCTGGGTCCAAGGAGGAAAGGGCCGACTCCAGATGATGCTGCAGACCAGGAGCACTGCCTTCACTTCCTAACCTTCTGCAGTTGGGCGCCGGGGCCCCCTGTCTGCAGTCACACACTCTGCCCTCTTAGCTGGGCCTAGAGCTTTAAAGATTAACTAGATTCAACATAACATTTCTTTGACTTTTTAAATACAATGAGTATAGTTTTATTTTAATGTTTTTCAGATGCATTTTGATGTAGGTAGGTACCTTTACATTTTAAACATTTATTTGCTTTCTGAAATGGGACCAGCACATATACATACATACACACACACACACACACACACATATATATATATATATTTTTGACAGGGTCTTCTTGCTCTGTCACCCAGGCCAGAGTACAGTGGTGCAATCACAGCACACTGCAGCCTCAATCTCCTGGGCTCAAGTGATCCCGGTACTTCAGCCTCTTGAGTAGCTGGGGTTATAGGCACCCACTACCACACTTGGCTAAGTTATAAAAAATTTTTTTGTAAAGATGAGGTCACACTATGTTGACTAGGCTGGTCTTGAACTCCTGGGTTCAAGCAGATCCTCCTGGCTCAGCCTCCCAAAGTGCTGAGATTACAGGCATGAACCACCACACCCTCCTGGTACCTGCATTTTGAAAATGTTTCATTGCCAAGCCTGCGGGGAAGTCTGCCCTTTTTTATTAGAAAATGAAGAGCTAATTCTGAAATATGCCTACTAAATATGCATATCTCAAGCACTTTGTGAAAGGATGTAGGGTGAAATAGTCTGTTCCTGAAGCAAATATCACTGTGTGTTCGTTCCATTATTTCCGAAGTTTTTCTGTGGCCCTTGATAAATTGTGTAGAATGTATTAAGTCTCATCTGAAAATGTATATTAAAGATTGTTCTTTTAATTTAAAATGATTTGTCCAAGGTACTTGACTTAATGAGTCAAAGTTTAATGAACCACGACACTATTAGTAACACCATCTCAATCTTTCAGATTTTATAAAAGATATTACAGTTTTCAGAAGGTTGAGAATCGTCTTTTGTAATGTATTTTAAGATAGTTAAGAATAGAGTTTATATAGTTAAGATTAGGATTTGTATTGCAAAAACTCCCTTCCAGACGCATTTTGGGCCTTTATGAGCGAGTAATCATGACAGGACAGAGTGGGTTCACCCACAGTTTTGTGGTTAATATTTGCAAGTCGTTTATTTAACAAGGTTGAAAAGAGGCTCCCTGGTGTCTTTTATAATTACCCTTTTCTGGGGACCAACTTACAAGTAAAAAATATCTGGTGGTATTATCTTTGCTTCAGATGTATTATGTTTATGGAATTGGAAATGTTTGATTTCTTAGTGTGTGTGTGTATCAATGGATTATGTTGTTTAAAAATGTTTGCATCTGTATTGCATGTATAAACATGTCTGTTTCCAAGTGTGGCCTTTAAAACACTGAGGGTTTTGTGGCTGGGCGCGGTATCTCATGCCTGTAATCCCAGCACTTTGGGAGGCTGAGGCAGGCAGATCATGAGGTCGGGAGTTTGAGACCAGCCTGGCCAATATGATGAAACCCCGTCTCTGCTAAAAATATAAAAATTAGCCAGGTGTGGTGGCGTGTACCTGTAATCCTAGCTATTCGTGAGGCTGAGGCAGAAGAATCGCTTGAACTCGGGAGGCGGAGGTCGCAGTGAGCCGAGATTGTGCCACTGCACTCCAGCCTGGTCGACAGAGCAAGACTCCATCTCAGAATAAGATAAAATAAAATAAAAATACTGAGAGTTTTTTAAAAGGTCATAATAGAAACATTTTATGTGTTTTAATTGTTTAAATGTTTTCTTTTGGATTAAAAAAAACCTGAATGTAATCTGGGAAAATGTTAAATGGCTGCAGCACTATAAGATTTTCCACAGAAATGTGTTATTCACAGTGAAGCACAATGGGAAGACTCCGTTAGCACTTTAGATGGTATCATAACTTTGGAAAAACCATTTCACCATGTGAGTATTTACAAAAACTGAAGCCGTCCCTGTGAGGTTTTGACAGAGCTTAGCTATATAGGTAGTAAGTGACGCAGTGCTAAAAGCAGTCTTAAATTACCTATGTCAATATGCAGATTTTCTCTATTTAGTATTTTAACTATGAATTTACCAATCTGAGTAACTTGAAATGCAGTATCATAAAAAGAATCAGATCTACCAAACTGAAAATATGTGCGTATCTAAAGTAGTTTCTTTTCTTGATTTTGGTTAAGTTAACAGAAGTATCTTCACATCTGTAATTTCTGGTAAGTTAATGAGAACACGCTGAACTTTTGGGTCACAATAAATTTTCCCATTATGTAAAATATTTTACACACCGGTTGACTCATTGTGAATTGTGAGTTGACATGATTCTCTTCCTGCGGAAAATAGAAACACATGCTGGCCGGGCACGGTGGCTCATGCCTGCAATCCCAGCACTTTGGGAGGCGAAGGTGGGCGGATCACCTGAGGTCAGGAGTTTGAGACCAGCCTGACCAACGTGGAGAAACCCTGTCTCTACTAAAAATACAAAATTAGCCAGGCATGGTGGCGCATACCTGTAATCCCAGCTCCTCAGGAGGCTGAGGCAGGAGAATTGCTTGAACCTGGGAGGCAGAGGTTGCCGTGAGCAGAGATCGCACCATTGCTCTCCAGCCTGGGTAACAAAAGTGAAGCTCTATCTCAAAACAATAAATAAATAAATAAAAACTAAAAGAAACACATGTTATTGTAATGACAATTTGAGCCAATTACAGGATTGTGCTTATGTTACCACATTGACTGTAGGTCCTTTCAGTGAGTTGGGTTGTTGAAGAGTTTGAGGTAGACAGATGGCAGTGGGTGGGAATGAGTTGGGAGCTTTTGTTAGGTTTAGAGAATGTAGTCTTTCCACCATCATTTAGTTGTTTATTTTATGCATAGGCTTATTTTTGTTTTTGTGAGCATTATGTTGAGTTAATGTGTTTTCTTTGACGTCAAACCTTCTGAAATGTTTCTAGGTCTTAAGGATTCAGGTATTATTTATTTCATAGTAGACAGAATGAAGTAAATGAATACTTTCTTGGGGGATAGTGTTGATAAGTTTCATAGCGACACCTCTCCCTCGTGATTAAAAGTGCTACATTTGCACAAATATGTGATTTATATTTTACATTAAAATTAAGATCAAGTTTTTTCTTGAGAAATTGTTGAACTTTTAGATTTGGGAGAGGGGGAGTTCCTACAGGAATTATGAATTGTTTTGACCAGTGAGAAGCTTATTTAACATTTTTGGAAGGAGTACCCCAAAAGTAATGCATCTTTTGGCATAGTGGAAACTTGCAATAATGTTTTCTTGTTGTTTTTTAATTGAGTGGGTGAGCTGCATCTCTATTGGATGTTTGGCCTTTGACTTGATTGTGTCAGCTTTTAGAAAATAACTTTATGGAAATCGTCAGATTCCATACAATTACCTATTTAAAGTGTCCATGTCCGTGGTGTTTGGTATATTCACAGAGTTGTGCAGCCATTGCCTACTTCGGACGTTCTATTGCAATGCAGTTGACAGTATGTGTTTTCTGTGTGCAGCCTCTGTCATTCGGCACCATGTTTTCATTCATGTTGTGCATGTATGCATCGGTTGTTCCTTGTTAATGTCGAATATTATTCCATCGTGTGGATGGTCCACATTTTATGTATTCGTTAGTCCATTAATAGGCATTGGGGTTGTTTCTACTTTTTGACTGTTGTGTGATAATGCTGCTGTGAACATTCATGTACAGGTTTTTGTGTGGACGCGTCATTTCTCTTGGGAATATACCTAGGCATTTGTATCCGCTTTTGTTGTTTCTTTTACCTACAGTTCAGATTCCCATTTATGTTTGTACAGACACTTTGCTACTTGTAACTGGGGCTTGTTTGACCTTTGTTGCTGACCTAGTGACTTCTTGTGTCATGTTGAAAGCCCCTGAGACCCTCTGTTGCCTAGAGAAACAGGCAGAATTGCAGTCTCTTTCCTTCCTAAGACCAGATCCCATCTGGTGGTCATGAAATGGTCTTATAAAATAAGTACCTGTTAGATTTTTGGTAAATAAGTATGTATCTAAGCCAAATAAATTTTGTGTGTATTTTATATTATTTTTCTTCTCTCTGCTTCCTCTTGGGTACATCCTTTGTTCTGTGGCCCCAGTGGCACCTAGAGTGAATATGAATGATTTGTCTATGTTTTCCCTTCAGGCGGAATGTTGCTTACTTGGATTTTTTCTTGTTAATTTTGGTTACTGAGTTGCCTGTTTTTGAAGTGATAAATACCTTCAGATAGTAGGGTTGCTCTTTAGCATTTTAAGTGTCCAAATGAGACCTATTGGGATGTTTCCATAATTTGCATCAAATTCATGTAAATGCGCCTTAATGATACTAGCTAGTCTGTCTGAGCTAAATTATTAATTTCATTACTACTATTTAATAAAGGGGCAGGATTTGCCATGGTCATTCTAGTTAATGGTAAGAGCCCTGTAGGTCTCTCGTCATATATCTAAGCTGAATTAAGCTTGGAAATATTACTGAGTGCCTTGTGGCTCTATTTGGTAACAGTCATGCCTTTCATTTTGAGACAGCTTATACTTTTACACACCAGGAGACTCATTGTGAATTGTGAGTAGACATGATTCTCTTCTGGCAGTAAGGGGATGCATTCAGTCAGTTGAAAATCAACATCATGTGGTTTGCAGGATAGGTCTTACTTCTTTCTTAGGCAAGGAATCTGGGATCCAGAAGGAGTGAGCGGTTGGTTAGGAGGAGTCAGTGCCAGAGGCAGGCAGCGTGCCCTTTCTGCTCTGCCCACGCTGTGAGGACACCGGGCCGTACCTTCGCCAGGAGGAGGTCATGCCAAGTCCAAAGCGTCAGGCCGCTCAGAGCCAAGCAGCTTTGCTGGAGCACCCACTGGTGCACTTGGAAAGTGATTTATCCTGTTAAAGCCTCGCTGCCACCTCAGCTGTAAATTGGAGACAGTAGGAAGCCATCTCCGCAGGCCTGCGGGGACCTGGCATCTGGGCACTGAACCCTGCTGCCATTGGTCAGATGGTCACATTGGGAAGCAGTTGGAAGGGTCCTGTGGTGTGCTCCTTCTGGGACCTTCTGCCACCCCCTGGAGGCAGCTTGAGCCCCTACCCATCTCTCCCCATCAGTGCACACTCCCTTCAGCCCTGGGCCAGCTGTGGGGCCCTCCTCTGTAGGTGCTGGCTGTTCCAGGAGGCACAAGAGTGTTGGTGTGGGACCTGCCCACTGCTCGAGATCCCCCAGGGAGAGCCCGCTCAGGCTACGCACGGGCTTCTGGCCACATGGGTCAGTGTCGCAGGACGGACAGATCAGTGGGGGAAGAGTCCTCCTGCAGTGCTGCTGCCACTGGAGACTGGTGAGAGTGGTGCTGCCATAGAGGAGAAGCCTTGATCTCTGACTTGAAAGGCTGAGTTCTTCTGGAACTTCTGCGAGGAGTGCCCAGAGTGGCACCTAAATACATTAGAAGCGCTTGATGAAAGTTCCTCTGAGGCTTTTAAACTGCTCGAGTGAGTCTCTCTGAAGCACGGTGATGGCAAAAGGAAACCACCTCACGCTGCCTCTTTGTGCCTTCTGTCCTCATCTCCCGTGGGCCGTAGGTGTTCCCTGTCAGGATTTATGCGGAGGCGTGTCTGCTGTGGCCGAATGTGTTCATTCATTCATATCTCACAGTAAGAGGGAGAGATGGGGGAGGAAGACTGCCGTATTTCCTTAAAAGTTTTTCTGTAACTCGAATCCCTCCCACCCCCATGCGGTAACACCATCTTTTCCAGTTGGTGTCAGTGAACTCTGTTTTGGGTACCTACAGAAGCAGTAGGGGAGGTTAGGATGTGGCTGGAGGATGCTGGTTCCTGGGTGTAAATCCTGGCTCTTGCGCTTGAACTGACTGTGCCTCAGCGTCCTCGTCTGTTCGGTGGAGCCGCCTCAGAGAGGAACAAGTGAGTTGTGCGTGTGGAGCAGGTGGCTGACATGTGGCGAGTCCTCCAGGAATGCGGCAGCAGAAGGAACATGTTGAGCACCGCAGATACAACCCTGACCACCACTGCAGGACTTCTGTGCGGGGGCAGCTGCAGAACCACCACTTCAGGACAGCATGGGAGCTGCTGGAGGTGGGGGGAGCTCAGGGAAAGGGCCTTGCTGCCAGGGGTGGGAAGGGAGTCAGTGAAGACGTCCTGGAGGAGAAGATTCCAGAGCCTGAGATGTGAAATAGAGTTAGGTAGCCAGAGACCAGGCAGAGAAGGGCCATTTTCATCAGAGAACAGCATAACACTGGCAGAGGTCTGACATGTCATTTCCTGTTACTAGAATTGGGGAGTGACCAGTAGATTCTTTAATTTGTTTATTCTTTCGTGCAGTCCTTCACCTCACACCTGTTCAGGGTCCAGTGGGGCTCTGGACATGGGGTGGAAGGAAACCATCTGAGCAGAGACCGCTTGGACTGTCACCTCCGTCGGGTACCAAGGCTGCCAGAGGACAGCTGTTACTTATGGGTGGTGGTGTGGTGAGGTGGCACAATACAGAGCTGCCCCGCTGTGTCCATGCCCTGGCACCTCCCCGCAGTTACCATGTGCCTTGGGCAAATGTAGGCCTCAAGTCCCAGACACAGGCTTCTGTCAGTGGTGGTGGTGGTGGCTGTACCTGCTCCAGGCTGCTGTGAGGGAGGGACGGGCTCCGGCCACAGACATATGCCCTTGCAGAGGACCTCCCGCACCTGCTGAGGATTGTGTACAGCCATCTGGAGGATGTTCTCCCTTGGCCCTCCCTGTAGTCCAGCTGAGTCCACATCCTTCACCTCTTTTTAACTCTTCCTTTCTTACAGAACCTTGACCTGGAGCTGCAGTCGGGCTCGAGTTCTGCCTCCTGTGCAGTTCCAGCCGTCCTCCACCATACATGATAGTGTGTTTTCCATTATTCTTCCTCCCAGAGCACTCGCACCCACCCTGACGGTGGTTCCCCATGGTCAGATTGAGTATCCCTTATCTGAAATGCTTGGGACTAGAAGTGTTTCAGATTCTGATCTTTTTGGATTTTGGAATGTTTGAATATGCATAATTAGATATCTTGGGGATGATACTTAAGTGGAAATTCTTTTCATATACACCTTATACACATAGCCTGAAGGTAATTTTATGCAATATTTTAAATATTTTGTGCATGAAACAGAGTTTTGACTGTGACCTGTCACGTGAGATCCATTGGGGAATTTTCCTCTTGTGGTGGTATGTTGGTACTCAGAAAGTTTCAGATTTTGGAGCAGTTTGGATTTTTGGATTAGGGATGCTCCACTTGAATATCCTTTTATATACAACACATGGCCAATGCTCACTAAATGTATTGCGTGAATGAATGAAAACCAAAGGTCGATTTACTAAGCGTGCTACTATTTCAGAAACCTCTTTTTCCGAATTTGATTATATGGTCAATGGTTTAATATTTCAAGTGCTCTGACCACGTAATGGTTATTACCACACTGCGAAGGTAGCTGGGTGTTCTGTGATTGCTGCCCCCAGAGGACCTGGAAGTGCTTGCTGTACTTGCGTTTTCTGGAATGGAAATCATGGCTTATTCCCAAGAGCCCCCAGCGGGGGCTTTGAGTCTGGTGCTAAGCAGCAGATGTGCAGATTCCCGCAGGGCGTACCTGAGCCCCGAGAGGGGGCGTCGTAGCGCACAGCGCACTCATTTCCGCATTCCTACCCCGCACAGCCAGTTGTCACAGCCATCCTCCAGTAAAAACCACAAACCAGTCAACCTCTAGGAAACAGGTAGGAAATCTAGAAAAAGCCTCAGGTGTTCACAGCATTCTTTAAAGATTCTTTAAAAATCTTTGTGATTGGAAAGACTGCTTCCTGTGCCAGAGAGTCTCTCTCCAGCGCTTTTGCTTCTGAGGTTGGTAGCTTTCAGAAAGACTGCAATGCAGCGGTTACCAAAGTCCTTGTTAATATGGAAACAACCCGTGGTGAAGCCTTTTGCTCCCCTTCATAACTGCTGACTGTTGCCTGCAGTCGGAAGGAGGAGATAATGAAGGTAATACTCCTCCGGACCTGGCAGTTTAGTGATTAGAACGGACGCGGTTCTGTGAATGCTGTGGCTGGCACAGGCATGTCCGCAGCAGCTCTGTCAAGTTACTGATGCAGTGGGCTTCCTGGGAACGTGAAGCTGAAGATGTCTTTGCAGTTTGTGTGCGATAATTTTGTTTTCATCTCTGTGTTCAGATGGTGGATTATAAGAAGGTAAGGGACTTTACAAATCATGCATATGTGTATTTTAAATGTTTATGAATATCCCTAGTCAAGGTAAAGAATGATGATTGAATAGACCTCTTTTGAACCTAAGAAATAAAACTTTATTTCTTGTTAATGACAGTTTTGACATTTGAAGAGTTATCTTAGTCTTGACAGATGCCCTATAAGTGAATTATTGAAGATGTTCTTTGAAGAGATCTGCTTTTTCTTCGATTTGCTAAACATAGTTGAATTTCAGAGATGTAGATACGGATGGAATATATTTGTTTCTTTAACTTAAGCAATAACAGTTACATTAATCTGGATGGAACTTTTCATCTTAAAAAATCTCAACCACTGGCTGTAGATGATGAATTCTAATCTCCTTAGTTCTTATTTTGCCTTTAGAAGAGCATTTTCAGATGTGTGGAGCTCTGTGCTTATCCGTGGGGTGAGCTGGGTGTTACCTCCAGCTGCTGCTCTTCGTTTATCTTAGAGGGAGGCCAAGAGTCAGAGCTGAGATTTATTTTGCAATGAATTAGTGGCCCCAAATGGTATTAAATGCATTATGTGTGGTAATTTATATGTCCAATGCCAAGAAATATAATGTTGGGGTTACCATGGCAACTGCTTGCATTCTGAGAAGCTCGTGAATGGGTTCTGAACCTTCTGGCGTTGGAAGTGAGCTTTTCCAGCTGAGAGCCTGCATTCGTGATTAGTGTAAATAAATTCAGCTTTCCATATGAAGCACATCCTTTCTCTTAGCTTACCAGAGTAGTCCATTGAGCTCAGTTCTTTCTCTGGTGACATCTGCCTTGGTCTCTTGGTTCCTGGCAACAGACTATGACTGAGACATAGTTTTCAACTTCAGGCTGATGTGTGTGTGTGTGTGTGTGTGTGTGTGTGTGTGTGTGTGTGTGTTGGCCTACTACCTCAGTCTGTGGGCTATGTAGAATGGGGCTGGCTCATCCGTGCCTCCTGAGAGCTGGCAATGCATGATGTCTCCAAAAGGACAGTTGCAGCCGCATGTGCTGGTGGGCCCCTGGCACAGCATTCTATCCATCTGAAGGGCTTGTTTCCAGTAACATTTGCTAGGACTCTTCCTGGGAGACAGCCCTGCCTGTTTCCAGGATATCATGGGGATTGGTTTTGGGGAGGGAGGCCCAAGTTAGAAAGACCCATGTTTTAAATGTCAAGCTTGTGAAAATAATAAATGAGAGCTTATTGTCTTCATTGCCGAAGGTCTGTTTGCTGTTTGTTAGAAATATATGTAGCATAGGCCAGGGATGGTGGCTCACGCCTGTAATCCCAGCACTTTGGGAGACGAAGGCAGGAGGATCGCTTGAGCCCAGGAATCTAAGACCAGCCTGGGCAAAATAGCGAGACCTCATCTCTACAGAAAGATAAAATAAAATAAATAAATAGATGAAGAAAACTAGTTTCCCTTGTGCATTTAAAACAATGTTGACATTGTTTTAAATGATTGCCAGGGACTGAAATGTCTCTGTGTGATTTCAGGGCCCTGAGGTCGGAAGGTTGGAGCCTGGTGGTTGCTGCCGAGGCAGCAGCTCCTAGAGGGCCTGGCCAGACACTGGGAGAATGTTTTCATGCTCTGTAGAATTCATTCTATTTGTTAATAAACATTGAGATCATAGAATTTAAATGATGAACTTGAGGATAGACCGGCTTCAGGCTCACAGTGGGCACGTTGCTGTGGCTCGCCTGTAGGCCTCAGTTAAGAAGCTTTGTCTAATCCAGTCCCTTTATTTTACAGATGAGGAAAATGAGGCCCAAAGAAGTGAAGCCACTTGGTTAAGGTCCCAGTGCAGGTCAGAATCAGATCTAGGATCAGAAACCTGGCTCCTGGCTCCTGGCTCTCTACTCTTCTAAGGATCGCTGTCCTGACAGAAGAGGTTTGCTCTCAGTTAATTGTTGTTCGTTCTTTTGCTTTCCTTTTGTCAGAAAGAGGCCTGTAATAACAACGGGCATCTAATGTAGACTCTGTAATTTTAGAATTTTAAAAATTCTTGTCTTCCCTTCCTCTGGTTATTTATAGAATTTCTACTCAATGTGCTGGAGTCACCCACAGGAGGGGCAAAGGGCGTGACCTCTGCCCTTAATGCTATGTGCTGTGATGGGAGATGGGTGCATAGCCGAACCTACAAACTGGAATGTTGAGGTGAATTCTGGCTTGACACCTACATTTCTGCTAGTCGGTGGTATTCTGTGTTCTCGCAGAGAAGCTGCAGTGCCCAGCAGTTACCCAGGGGTGAATCTCAATCACCACCTATTAAATCAAGGTCATGATACTGTATTTACTAAGGCAGGACAACATCGTAATTTAGGCTCAACTTACAAGTTGCAACTTATTACAAGTAATAAGAGGTTCGGCTTACAAGGGTTGAAATACAGATTGATTTTTTTAGCCAGATTCCATTGAACCCTGGTTTTTAATTTTCCGATCTTGAAAGAAGACTGAGATTTTACTGTATAACTCACTCAGGGTGACATTGTGTTTTCCTAAGTGTTCTCAGTGATATCTCCCATTCTTAACCCTATTCTTCTCACATGGGACTTTGACAGAGAGGTGCGCCTGGACTGGGTGTGTGACCTCCCTCACCCAGCAGTATGGCACAATGGTGCTATATGACTTCTGAGTTACGTCCTTAAAAGGGTGCAGTTTTTGCCTGGATGTTCTTTTTGGGGTACTTGTTTGCCATCCATATGGTGAGGAAACCCATCTCGCCCACACAGGAGGACCACACAGTGAATAGGGCATTGACATAACAAGATGACTTCTGTTTTCTGAGTAACTTCCACCACAGTGGTGAAACTGTGTCCCCAAGCTCAGCAGGCAGAGGTAAAACATTTTTCAAAGGAAAGGATAAGATAGGCTCCCAGTTTACCACATGGTGAAGAGAGACCTCTGGCTCTTCCAAACTGTTGCTGATAGAGCGTGGAGTGCTGGGACTTCGGTCAGGCCAGATCCTGCCACCTCACTGTCCAGCTCTCCTGAGTGCTCCTGGCCTGCCCTGCTCTCTGCCCAGTGCTGCCTGCTGCCCTTACATGGGGTAACCTTCTGTCTCCCAGCCCCAGCCATGGGTCCCATTGCCCAGAATGCAAGAGCCTTTCTTGGCTTAGAACTTTAACTCAAAACCGTCAGTTCTTAGAGGGTTTGTTTTCTTTTTTTTTTTTTGGCCTGGGATTTTGAGAATATCTAACAGTGCTGGGCAGTTTTATCATTCATCATCATGGGTAGTTTGTTTTATTACAACTTGCAGCTTCATATCTTAAAACAAATTCATTTCTTGCTTTCAGATTTGCTTATCTAAAAGTTTTGTTAATAATAGTAACTTAGCACAAAGCTTCTAATATACGAGTTGATGAAAAGCATCTCCTGTATCACCTTTAATAAGGATAATTTTGAAGTGTAATTTAATGCCCGGAAGCCAATTGGTACTGAGATTTAATTTTGTACTTGGAAAAGAAGTATGAGAAGAAAAGAGTCCTTTTTTCCTTAAATTTTTTTTTCTTAGTTGACATATAAAATTGTGTATATATTTATCATGTACAACATGATATTTTGAAGTATATATATTATGGAATGGTTAAGTCTAGCAAATTAGCAAGTGTAAAGATAAACTCACAGTTATCCTTTTTTGTGGTGAAAATACTTTATATCGATTTTCTTTTTTTTAAACATAAAATCTTTCAGCAAAGACATCTACTTTCTCAGCATTTTTCAAGAAGAAGAGTATCTTTTTAACAAATACATTTTCTAAGCCCTGCTGGTCTGCAACCCACTCCATTCAGTTAATATTTATCAAGCACTGACCAGGTGCAGTGGCTCCCAGCACTTCGGGAGGCCGAGGCAGGTGGATCGCCTGAGGTTAGGAGTTTGAGACCAGCCTGGTCAACATGGCAAAACCCCGTCTCTACTAAAAATACAAATATGAGCCGGGCATGGTGGCAGGCCCCTGTAATCCCAGCTACTCGGGAGTCCGAGGCAGCAGAATTGCTTGAACCCGAGAGGTGGAGGTTGCAGTGAACCAAGATTGTGCCATTGCATTCCAGCCTGGGCAACAAGAGTGAAACTCCTTCCCCCCACCAAAAAAACATAAATTTGTCAAGCACTACCTACACATACACCCACTCTCTGTCTCTCTCTCACACACGCACACACACTAATAGACATAGCAGTAATATATATTAAGCATGAATACAGCAAGAAGTTTGGTATCCCAGAATTAGAACGGGGCTTTTTTCCTATATAATCTACAAAATGAGATGTTGAATTGATATTTAATACTAAGCTACTTCTTAAGCATTTGATTTTTCTTGCTGCATTATATTTCTAATTTTAAAATCTGAGAATTATGGAAAATAGGTAATTTCTACTTATCTTTCAGATTATAGATTAAATGTCCTCTCCTGGCGTGGGGGAGGTCCCCATATTCACATAAATGGGTGTGACCTCCATGTGCACTGCGCACTTCCCTTTGGTACTTTTCGTCTCACACACACGTATGTACACCCTGCACAGACACATGCCCTCTTATTACTGGTGTTGTGTCTTCTTGCCTGTGGACTGTCAGCTCTGTGAAGGGGAGGTTTCTGTCTTTCTTGTCCCTCTCCCTTCTGTGGCACTCAGTACATGCTGGGTGAATGAATGAATACTGGACACAGACGCTTTCCTTGACGGTGGTTGGATGATCTAACCTTTCCTTATAGTACTTTTTCAGATGTTTTCAAATTCAAGAAATCTTTTTTCTATCACTAAGTTACTACTTTTCCAAATTATTGAATACTTCTATTTTCTTCTGCCTTTAAGGAGTAGGAAACAACTAAGAACAGATGATGTCTCATGTTCCGAATGGATCCTTCCTTCCTTTGCTCTTCTCTTGAGTTCTTTCTCATGCAAGCGAACACCCATATTGTGAGGGGTAACAAATTTAAATGAGTATAGAGATGACTGAGGAGAATGAGGTAGTTTGGAAAAACTAGAAAAACCTGCCTGAGTGCTTTTGATATTTTAATTTATACGCAATTCTTTTACGTTTCATTTTTCTCAAGACAAATGCCAGACTGTGGAAAGGGTGCTGTCATTTAAAAATATTTGGGCATGTGGCCGGGTGCAGTAGCTCACGCTTGTAATCCCAGCACTTTGGGAGGCCGAGGCGGGTGGATCATGAGGTCAGGAGTTCGAGACTAGCCTGGCCAACACTGTGAAACCCCGTCTCTACTATAAATATAAAAATTAGCTGGTCATAGTGGCACCTGTAATCCCAGCTACTCAGGAGGCTGAGGCAGGAGAATGACTTGAACTCAGGAGGCGGAGGTTGCATGGAGCCAAGATTGCGCCACTGCACTCTAGCCTGGGCAACAAAGCTAGACTCTGTCTCAGGGGTGAAAAAAAGAGAATATTTGGGCGTGCATACTGCCAAAGGCGATTTACAGACTCAGTGCTATTCCTAGCAGATTACTGAGGACCTTCTTCACAGAACTAGGAAAACACTGCTTTAAAACTCATATGGAACCAAAAAAGAGCCCAAATAGCCAAGGCAGTCATAAGCAAAAGAACAAAACTGGAGGCATTCTGTTATGCAGCTTCAGACTATACTACACGACTACAGCAACCTAATAGCATGGTACTGGTACAAAAGCAGACACCAGTGGAACAAAAGAGAGAGCCCAGAAATAAGGCTGCACACCTACAACCATCTCATCTTCGACAAAGCTGACAAAAGCAATGGGGAAAGGACTCCCTATTCAATCAGTGGTGCTGGGACGACTGGCTAGCCACATGCAAAAGATTGAAACTGGACCGCTTCCCTACACCATGTACAAAAATCAACTTAAGATGGATTAAAGACTGAAATGTAAAACCCAAAACTATAAAAACCCTGGAAGACAACCTAGGCAGTACCATTCTGGACATAGGAACTGACAAAGATTTCATGAAGAAAACACCAAAAGCAATTGCAACAAAAGCAAAAAGATGACAAATGGGATCTAATTAAACTTAAGAGCTTCTATACAGCAAAAGAAACTATCAGCAGAGTAAACGTACATCCTACAGCATGGGAGAAAATATTTGTAAATTATGCATCTGACAGAGGTCTCATGTCCAGCATCTATAAGGAACTTAAGAAACTTAAGAACTACAAGAAAAAAAAAACCCATTAAAAAGCGGGCAAAGGACACGCACAGATGCTTTTCAAAAGAAGACGCACATGCAGCCAACGAGCATATGAAAAACAGCCCAAATCACTGACCATTAGAGAAATACAAATCAAAACCACAGTGAGATAGCATCTCATACCAGTCAGAATAACTATTATTAAAAAGTCAAAAATAAGATGCTAGTGAGGTTGTGGAGAAAAGGGAATGCTAATACACGTTGGTGGAGTGTAAACTAGTTGAGCCACTGCGGAAAGCAATATGGTGATTCCTCAGAGAGCTAAAAATAGAACTACCATTCAACCCAGCAATCCCATTACTGGTTATATTATTCAAAGGAATATAAATTGTTCTGCCATAAAGATATGTACACATGTATGTTCATTGCAGCACTATTCACAATAGCAAAGACATGGAATCCACCAAAATGCCTATCAGTGGCAGATTGGAGAAATAAAATTTGGTACATTTATATCACAGAGTACGATGTAACCATAAGAAAGAATGCGATCCTTCTGTCTTTTGCAAGAACATGGTTGGGAGCTGGAGGCCATTATCATCAGCAACGAATGCAGGAACAGAAAACCAAGTACTGAATGTTCTCACTTATAAGAGGGAGCTAAGTGATGAGAACACATGGACACAAAGAAGGGAACAACAGACAGTGGGGCCTACTTGAGGGTGGAGGGTGGGAGGAGGGAGAGGATCAGAAAAAATAACCACTGGGTTCTAG